GTGTCGGCAGGGCGCGCCCGGAGGCGGTGTCCGACTCCCGCGCTGCCCCTCTCGGGGTCGGTGTCCGGCTGGTTCTCCGCCATCTCCGGGCGTTGCTGGCCGGCGGGGCTTGCGGGACTCGCCGCGGTGTCGGTGCGTGGAGGAGTTCGCAGCGGGACGCTTGCCTCGGCAAGTTGGCGGAGCACATGGTAGCTGGGTGCTCCCCTGCACCGTGCATCTGTGGCTGACCCGGATGCAAGGGGCATCCCTGTGCGATCCGAAATGTGCCTGAGCTTGCTGTGGCTGCCTTGTTTCCCAACCTTCTGCGTGCAGTGCAGCACTTGCTCCCCTTCCTCCATAGCCTCTCGCAACAGGTGGGAGAGGAGGCCTCGTGTCATCCATTCCTGTGTCTGGGAAGAGCACTAAGGTTTTCTGGTATCTTCACAGCGTCTTTGCTTTGAAACTTTCCTGGAAATATTTTTGACTTCTCGGACCCTGCCTTGTGTAAAAACAAGAGTAAAACTGCTGGAGAATTAGTTGTCTTCTGTCTTGGTTGGAGAGTATTCAGGAGGGATTTCAGAGAGTCTGAGCAGGCCGCTAATGGGGTATGTGTGAGGGTTGTCTTGCTACTTGTTACTCGGTGTTCTCTGCACTTTGACTCGTTTAAATCCTCACAGGACTTTCTGGGGTACCTGTAGATGTTTGGACTATCTGCCTGAGTGTCAGTTGCCCCTGACTCCTGCCAGTGCAATATTCTGGCAGCAAGTTTCACAGGTAAGTTGATGTTACTTAAATTCTTCCTCTATCAGACAATTTAAAACGGATCCGAGGTTGTCCTTCTGAGCGCCTTATACAGTGTGTAAATAGATGTAGCTGGTGGATTGTGACCTCTCTTCTCTCACTGTGTGAATCTTTTTTAATCCCTTCCCTTAGAATTTGATCTAGATTATCTCTTTCATCGATGACAGCTTTTTATGGTTTTCAGTCATTGGTCTTTCTGCCCTTTTTTATGTTTTGAGATGGGTAAGAAATCTGAGCACAGGCCTAGGCTGCTGCACTGGTCTCTGGTTTTATGAAGGGCTTGATGATGCGCTGTCTTTCACAAACTGCTTGTAGGAGGGTGTTTGCCTTTTAAAAGGCCACTGTAGATCTGGGGTGCAAAGACAGTGCCAGCTCTTTAAATGGTGGACAAGGCTCTGGGCACTTAACTGGCTCACTGAGGGTGGTGTGCAGACCCGGTGGTTTTCTGCTGTCTCTTTCATTATCGATTGTTGAGCAGCTATTCCAGCTCTGTTAGGCCACAGAGAATCTGAACTTGTTGGTAAAGTCATATTTGCCTCTGTTCTTTCTAGTGTCTGTACTTGCTTCTGCTACAGCAGTGTCCTTTTGACTTACTCCAACACACTCGTCCTGCACAGGGTTTGGTGTAAGATTCCTCTTATTTCATTCTGTCCCAGGATATGCCCTTTTCTGCCATGTCTTCACCTGTTTCCACCGCATCCTCAAGTTTGACTGTTCACTCTAGTGAGTGTGCTACATGTTGGTGAGCCTGGCTGACCTGTACTACAGTTACCTTATCTATCAAAAGCAATGAAGATCAGTGGTCAGGATATCAGGGCTGGCTGTACAGACCCATTCTAGATGTTGCCTTGAATTTTAGTTTGGACATAAGGTTTACGCTCTTGTTGTTTTCTGCCCTTCAGCAGTGCTACACACAGCCCCCTGGACTGTGAAGTGTTCCTTGTGAGGCAACTCCCTGCTCCTAATAATTAATAATAATTTTTTTTAAAGTGGGAAGGAGTGTCACCAGAATCCTTGCTGTTCATTCCTGAACTTGTGACTTCCAGTTAAAATGCCCCCACATTGGTTTCCAGTTTTTTATCTTGGGTAAAATGTGGCATGGATGATCATGCCACCTCCCTTGCATTTTTTTTGTCTGAGATCTGTCTGCGTTGGTTTCACATAGTGTCATTGTACCCAGACCCAGGTGTTAGATTTTTCAGAGGGGTGAATTGATTCCTATTCCTGGGAGCTGATTTACCAGCTTGCAGATACTACCAAGCACCCTACTCAGTGCATCTGTCTAATCTGAATGACCTGTTGCTTGTAGGTATCTTCTTAACATCGAGACTGATCAGCTCAGAAATGCATTAGCTTTTCTCCTGAGCTCCTTAAAGCTGAACTCAACTGCTTTAGTTCTGCCAGGTTTTTGTATACTTTTGTGAAGTTTCAGTGCTGACAAAAGATGTCTGGAAAAAGAAGGTGTATTTGTAGCCATATGTGCTGATAATACAGCTAGGTGTGCCTCAGTAGTGGGAGTGGTAAGGGAACTAGCTTCACTGCAAGTGACACTAAGCAAGCTTCTGGCAGAAGTGCCAAGCTTCCAACTTTCCAGGACAGGCTTTATTTTTCTTAAAGCTCAAGGATGCCACTGTCATTATGAGTACAAGGAAACTTTATTATGGCTTCTGCTGCTTTTGCAGCCTCTGTTCATGCAAAGTGATCCATTAGAATCTGAACCACTCGACGGTTCAGATGCAACATGATCTGGAAATGCAGAGCTGCCGTTAATCCTTCATGAGTTGTTCAGTAGGTGCAAACTACTGGCTGTCTTCAATTTTGGAGCAAAGTCAGATCTTAGAAAGTGTAAGGAACCCAAAGGGTTGGGGAACAGAGGTGCTGGAAAGAAAACTTGATCAAGGGAGATAACCTGCTTGGGGAGCTGGAAATAGTGCCAAGCTCTAGAGCCTGTTTATCACCAAACAAAGGGTAGACTGAAGAGTTATGTCCTAACAGTAGGGACTGTGGCAGGGGCAGGTGGGGGGACTCTTTGGTATGGTGTTGTGGCTGCTTCTTCAAGCCCCACGGAACATCAGAGCTGTGCTAAGGCTGGCTGGCGTTTCAAAGAACAGATACTCTAGGGGAGAGCACGCTGTAGGCCACAGATACCACTCATCATTGGTCTGCACAAGATTTTCCTTCCATCTGCATAGGGAGCAGTGAGAGTATCTTGTGGGACCTGGTTTGCTTGTCAGAAAGCAGGTGAACACATGCCTTTTTACAAATCAAAGCAGTGCCCTTCTTAATTCTAAATCTCTGTCTCAGTGCTCCTTTTCCTGCTGGCAGCATGCAGGGAAGTTCCACACGTGGCTGGACTTGGTTTGGCTTTCTGTCACTGGTACTTGTTGAGAATCTTGTTTCACCTCTTGCCTTGACCTGTTCTCCATCTCCCTTTAAGAACTGGGACCTTTTTCCCTGTGGTTACTTCAGATAGTTCTGATTCCTTATGCTCCATTATTTTTTACTTCTATCCTGTTTGCTACCTGTAGTCTATTAAGGCTGACTGATGTAACCTCTGTGTCCTTCTCCTTGAACTTGTGCTGGAAATTCTTCATTAAATCGTACAGGGTTGCTTTAATCTTCCTTCCTGATTAAATGGCAATTCAGTGGTTCACAGATGATTTGCTGAATTTTTTTTTTTTTTTGTGTAGGTGTTCTCCATTCACAGCTCTCTGTGTATTCAACTAGCTGTTAAACGTATGATGGTAAAGATTTCCCTCTGCTCATTCCTGTTTCTTTGTAATGCAAGGACAGGTTGTATCTGCATAGAAAACTTTGGAAACTTATTCCAGTGTGTGTGTGTGTATTTACAAATGAAAGGGTTGGTTTGGGGTTTTTTTTAATGGAACAAACTAGATGATGAGGAAAGACAGTAGACTGATTTTTTTCTTCTCTGTCCATCAAGATGGCAAAGTGTGGTGTTTGATGGCAGCTTCACTGGATAGTAAACCATTACCCCAGACTCCAGGGATTGCACAAGTGAGGATGGATCTCAACAGGTTGCTTGCAGTGATGATGCTTTGCTGGATAAAGCCACCTGGTCTTTGAGGAGCTGGATTAAGACTCCCAAATCAACTCCTGCCAGTTGTGGAGGAGAAACACCCCTCGGATATGGTCCATTCTCTTATCTCTTCCCTCTGCTCACGTGTGTGGACTGACTGGGGACTGGTGCCCTAGAGGTGAGTAGGATATGGAGTCAATTGACCCTTTAGTTACCAGGCATTGCTGTTTTTCTGAGTGGTTCCTGAGGGACAGTTTGAGCTGCCTGCATATAGCATGAACGAGATGAAACCCTGAGTGATTTAACAATACTGGACAGTGGTTCATAGCATTGTCCTTCTCTTTGGCTGAGTCATGGTAGCTTTGTTTGCTTAAACCATTCTAGGATCTAAATTGAGAGGTTATAGTCTGAGGTGTAGCTGCATGTCTCTCCATTCAGAAATATATAATGCTAGTTAGGCAAGTGCTGCTTTGAGCTGCAGCCATCTGACCTGTGAGGGTCAAGTCACTAGGCTGGTAGTCCATTCAGCAGAGTGGAACTAAAGGAACTAGTTAGTTTTCTCTCAGATTTCTTGTCAGCTGTCTTTGCTGGTTGTTGCTGTTTTGGTGACCTGATCTGTGGTCTCCCCTAGAAGAAGCAGATACTTGTAAATCTAGCTGTCCAGCTTGCCAGAACATAATGAATCTGTGGCCTCTTAGATCCTGTGAGTTGCAGTGTTAGAGTTTGTTAGATACCTGTGGATTGTCTCTTGCCGAGATGCCAGAGGAAGCTGTTCTATTCGTGTACCACTCATACGGTGATGCTTCTTGGGGTCCCAAACACAATCTCATTTACCCAGGCACCATGCTTGCATAAAACTAGCTCTGTTTTTCTGGTTCCAGCTTTACCTAGAGCCTTTCTCAGCAGCCTGCTGTATGATGTGCAGAACTGTGTGCTAGCTGACAGAGAAGTTAATCCCTTATAGGGGCAAATACAGTATTTCTTTCTCTGTCTAAACAGTTGCTTCTGGCTCCCTACAGACTTACTGCTAGGTGACTATTTTAGAAGTCGTTTTGCTGGGCTTAAGTTTTTGAGTTTTCCTTATGGTTAAGAGCATTGACAGGGTGTTTTGACTGCACTGC